GGAATTTGGGTGTGGGCTGGAGAATAGGACCAGTTGTTTGTACTGTTGCTGTTCAGTCCTAGCAATGTGCTCGAAGAGAGTTGAGGCGCCTTTGAGTCTGGACACAAGCACTTTTGTTTCCCTTGAGTCCTGCTCTATAAAGGTCACGTTTGCATTTTCACAGTTGGAGGATTCCTGTGGGTGGTGGCTGTTGCAGACTTTCTGAAGGGAAGCATCCGACTTGTTCCCTGTCCACAGGCCTGGTCCATGAACCTGCAAAACAGGAACACATAGTACAGGGCCAATTGCACTAGCAGTACCATACCTGTGCCTATTTTGTTTTCATATGGGTGGTTTTGCCAGGACACTGGGTTAACTTATACAGTGATTCTAAGAAACCTGCATTTCCTTTACTTGGCAATGGGAAATCAGTTTACTAAGAAACAGTGTATTTAGCCTTAAAACTAGAGTGACTTTAATTCTGTCATAGACGTACCGAAAGTGGTGATTAAAGAAACAAAATTGTCTTTAAAGATTATGTATGCCAAGGGACTCAAATAGCTGCATAGCACAGGACAGGTTTGTGTTTTAATATTTTGATATACGATATGGCACTACAATAATCCATTAAGCATGGTGGCGTGGAGTCTTGACACTGAAGTTCACTTGTTATCTTTTGCTGGACACACTGAAAGAAAAGATTGAGGTCTTCTGAGAGAAGAACCATGGCTAGATCATATAGAGTGAGAAAGGTAAAATTTATTTCTGATTAATGCTGTCAATTATTACTGTATCTGTTACAAAGCAGAAATCAGCCCTTGGTCATAGCCAGCCTTTTGCATTCATTGGAATAGTCAGTGGTGCTAGTAGAGTGTAAACTGAATAGGATTTGGCTAGGGCATTCAAGCACAAGCTACTCTTTCACAGCCACCCCCTTCTGTTTCTGCCTTTTCCTTGTAAGCAGTAAATCTTTCCAGGCATTTTATTCTACTCTCCCAAATGTTGTCAGAATGTGCCAAGTACAAAGCTCCAGTTTCTCTTTGTAGTGCAAGGATTTAGCAGTGAAAGTTTCTGTATGTTTATGGAAACACAGATGCAGCTTTAAAAATACTTGGTTTTGCTTAACATAATGATATAGAAACATCTGAAAAAATGTTTATTTTTCTGTACACTATTACAGCTTTTATTCATGCTTTCTGCTGGGAAAATAATATTGATCATAAAAATGAAATGTTGGTTGGAAATCCTTAGGTTTCTGTAATAGAATATTTCATTCAGGATGATATGTGAGAGTTACGGGCTTAATTGTGCTGCTACTGAAGCCAGTGGCTAAATGCCCAATTCCCTTCAATTGAAGCAGGACTGAGTCTTCTCTTTTGGAGAAGGGTATCTTGAACAGTAAGTAGTCCTTAATCTCTGATTTAAGCACTTCTATTTGGTAAAGTTTAGTTCTGTTTCAAGCCTGGAGCCATTTGGTTGAAATGGCATTTGATGTACTTTCTAGAAGTCTCTTTTCTGAGCCTGTTTGTGTATTCTTCATTAAAAAATAATATATTTATTGCAGCCACGTCTCTAGATTGTTTGCCTGTCATGTTTGAAAGCAAAAAACGTATATGTGACAAGATGCTGTTTCTATGAAATGGGTTCGGTGTGGAACGCATTCCCTTAGTGCTTTCAGGTGTTTTTGAGACAGATACGTAAAAGGCCTCTAATTCTTGGAAAATAATGTTTTGAGCATTTGAGGTATGATTTTTTTTCTTAGAGACAACATGAATTATCAGCTCATAAAGACAGTGTGTGAGTTAGCTTGGATGCAGAGCTCTGAGAAGGTGTTAAAGGCATGCTAATTAACTTGGGTACAATGACATAAAAAGTGAACCTTGAATCTTCCTGGAGGTTCACCCATCTGAAATGTAATAAATTGTTCACAGGCTCTTTTAAAAAATGTGATAAAAAAAATGTTATAGAAATTCAGACTTTTATCATCTACTTATTTTTCCTCTTCAAGGTTTTTACTGCAACCAAGAGGAAACACTTTTATTTTTCAGCAGAGTTTAGACTTCTCACAAGAGCTCCAGAAGTCAGACAGTTATAAGCAGAAGATTAAGTATCACAGGATTTGCAGTAAAATCATGAGGGGTGGGAATAATGTATATACCCAACAGTGGTTTGCAAAACCTGAAAACTTTTTCTTCAGAAAATGTTTATGTTTGGGTCTTGATTTAGCTACTGATTGTCAAATAGTTGCTCTTATTAATTTCCATTAATAGTCTTATGGTATGTTCCAGGGCAGAATTTAGCTCGGCGAGTTCAGATTGAACTGGTCATAACAAAAAAAATTAAGAAGATGGTAAATAATTGCGAAGTAAATTATTTAATAAATTACAATGTGGGCTAAGTCCTGAACCCTTTGCTGGAGCCTTATGTGGGTAAATTGCTGTTTAAATGAAGGCTCTTTTCCCTTCCTTCTTTCTGACCTCTCTGTTATGCCTGAGGCCCAACACAGATGTGTGTGGTACTAGGGATAGGCTATCACCCATTTTTCAGAGGATGTCTTCTTCCCTGGGTTCCACAGTGTGTCTTATGAAGACTAAAACTGTGTGTAGAGGTGAACAGACCTGCTTCAAATAGCGAGCTTGTGTGAGACCTATCACACAGTTCCCTAGAGACCTGGTGGAAAAAGTAATGTGAAGTTATGCTTTCGCTTTCAAAGAATCCCTGGAAGAGGCCATTGTAAAGTCATGGAAGTAACACATCTCTATGCAAAAGTGTCAGAAATAGGGCTGATGGACTTACCAATGGAAAGCTTTTGCACAGCTCTGGTTCTAGCAGAGACCTGAGAGGTGTAGCAGAGAGAGGAAAACAAAAAGTTAGTGCTCCACTGTCTATTCTTCTTGTAACCAAAGGAGGTATCAAAATTGTGCTCTGTGACAGATAATAATCTCCTATACAGTTTTTTTTTTTTAGATCCTCTCCTCTTTTCCATAGAAACAAACACTTTGATATGGCGTCATCTCCAGGTGATGTAAAATCTGAGATTCTTTTGAGGTCACGTTAAGCCCTGGTTAGTACCTAAGGCAGCTATTTATACATCAAGTAACTATCAATCCAAAAATAGCCCCTCTTTTGTCTGCCCAAAGACCCGATGCCTTGTTAATACCTGGTGTTTTAAATATTGTAAAGTTGACCTACTAGCTTGTGTTTTCAGAGAAACCTCTAAGACTTTTTCAAAGCTGCAGTTTCTGTACAGTGCCTCTGCTGTGGTGTGCTGGGAAGCATGATGAGAATTGACGTTTTTGACATCTCATTTCCCTCTTTGCTGTTGAAGATGTAATACTGTTTACCTGCTTCTTCTATATTTGTCCCACAAGAACATTTATACCTCTTTTATAAAAATGTGCTGAAGGCTACTCTATTCAGCAAAACTTAGTGTATTGCACCTTTGGATTAAAAATAGAAGTAATTTCAGAAATACAGAGGGTGAGAGTCTCATTTTTCTTACAAGCATTATGGGAAGCCTGAGGTTCCACCTTATGTTAGAATTTTAGCTTGTTTATCAGTTCTCTTCTGATAAGTGAAAGTGAACTGAATAGCTTCTCTGAGTCATCAGTAAATAAAAGCTCATGGGATTGACAGGGTTTCTTTCAACTGATGGACCTCAAAGTCATGCACCTCTCTAGGCAGCGTTGTTCTTCTATATCCTCCTGCTCCTGAGGAACTGTAATTATGATAAGCATGATGAATGTGTCAGACTGCAGTGTCTGGCAGTTTTCTGGAAATTTAGTTCTTTGTTTAGACCTGGGAAAAATCTACCTTTTTTCTGCATAAGTGGAGCAAAATGTAATGCAGAAGATGAAGTTATTTTGGGCATAGAACTTTGTCCATACATCTCTACCCTTCGCCCATCCTCACTGTAGATGAAAATGATCCTTCAGTGCTGCCTGGTTTCATAGATCTTAGCTATTCTAAGGTGAGATCAATGGACAGATGCAGTCTGTAACCTAGATAATTTGGATATGGTAGTTACTGCTGCTCCTTTTGGCACTATACTGTTTCATACATCTGTTCCTTTAATATCTCCAAATGTCTCACTTTCGTCTTTGTCCTCACGTTGATTAAGACTGAAGTCCTGATCTTGCCGTATGAAATCAATACATGAAATAGATACGTCGTTGCTGCTGTTGGCCAGTGTCTTATAAGCATCTTGGATGTGCTTTCAGAGTGATGTAAAGGAAGAAGTAGCAATGTGTTCATGGAACACATCAGGAAAGTACATCTCGTGGATAAAAGTGAGGGAGATGAAAGAGATTGTCATTGAACTGAATAAACATGATAATCTGCACAGCAAATTTTTGTAATTAGTGACTGAGGGCACTTCATAGGACAAGGGCAGAAAGAAGTACAGGTATGTGATATTGACAGCAATCTCAAAAGGTTTTATTTCATGGAGTGTGGGTCAGTGAAACACTTTGGAAAGATGCAGAAGACTGAGCAATAGGACTGGCTGGTGGGAAGAAGCAGCATAAACATATCGGAAATTAAGATTAAAACTATTTAATGAAAAAAGGGGAGCAGGAGGGATGACATGTGGAAGACAACATTGTCAGCTAAGAAAAATGACTATCATCCTGCACTTTATTTCTGTTTATCCAGCTGTACCATGTTCTGGGCCAGAACTGTATTTGTATTTTCATCGGTGTTTGGAAGGTGCCTTGCATGCTTTTGTATGCTACAGAAAGCAGCAGATACCATACAGTAGCCTGTTACTACCTACATAATAACAATCTCGGTTTGAAGTAACACATTTGGCTTTTTATCTGCAAAGATTCTTACACCAAAATCTAGGATTTCTGTATATGTGAAAAGTCAATGTATTAAACTTTTTTTCTTTAAGTTGACTAAATCTTCATCAGTGAAGGAATATTTTTTTTTTTTTTTTTTTTTTTGTTTATGAATTAGTTGTCCAGGCCTTGCTCTAACGACAAGTTATTTATCTTACAGTTGGTTTTTGCAAACAGGAGATGGTCCAGAAGAAGAATGCCATTTTGGTGGATGGGGTCATCCTAAATGGTCCAATAATGGACTCAAAAGCAGGAGAGAAGTTTGTGGAAGAGGCCTGTAAGATTATAATGGAAGAAGTTATCCAGAAAGCTGACGACGCAACAGAAAAGGTAAAGCCACACAGCGTTGTTGAGAATTTGTAACAGAGATAATGAGCAGTAAATCAGTTTTTGTCTAAGCTGCTATTTTATTACACTTTAGCCTCACAATTACTTCTAGTCTGTCCCTGGCTCTGAAATAGCTTTACAAATTAGGAAAGGTCATATTATAGAACCTTCCAATAACATAATTAACACACATTTTTGCCACAAAATGATTTTTTTATTTTTTTTCCCCTCTTAGAGTACAATGGTCACTTTCTTTGAGATGACAAATGGGTGTAGTGTTCGCGGTGTTTTTCTTGTTTGGGGTGGGGCGAGTTACTTGTTTGCTCTTCAGCAGCAATGACGTTGGAGAAGGAGGAACAGTGGATGTGGTACCACTGTGAAAGGGCAACATTGAGGTTGCTGTGGCTTTTGCAGAACCTCTGCTTAAGAGGCTGTATGGGAAGAGGAGCTGCAAATGAATCATGCTTGCCTTTAGGCATGCACTGGTTGCTCCCACCCCTTGGCAGAACAGCATCTGAAAATTTTGTGATTACAAATACTGAGCTAAGGACAGAATTTGAGCTGCAGGCCTGTTGCTTTACTGCTTTCCAGCATTCCCCACTCTAATGTTTATGGGCAAGCAATGCCCAAGACTACTGAATGTGGTGCTTACCTTGTACCTTTATAACCTCTTCCTCTTGGCTAACCTGTTTACTGCTGTTGTCTCCCCCCATCTCCATCACTAGGTTTGTGAATGGCAAGCTCCCGAAACACTGAAGCAGATTCTTGACCTGGAAATGAGGGACACTGGAGAATCTCATCAGAAACTCTTGCAACTCTGCCGGGATGTTATACAGTACAGCGTCAAAACCAGTAGGAATGTGATTTCTAGTGAAGTTATTCTGTGTGCTAACTTAAGGAAGACAGGATAATGTTTATGAAGCTCTGTCACTTTTCAGGAAACCGGGGGTGGAAATGTTGGTTTTCTGCTTGCCTATACAAGTATGCAAATATTTGGCTGTGTTTCCATTGTTTGACTGAATGCTGGTCACCATAGGTTTGACTAAAATGTGTAATCATGGCAAACTAATAAAAAACTAATTCCTGTAATGCCATCAACATTAATGGTAGATTCTGTCATTTTGAAGTCTTGTGAAAGTCACCTAGACAGGTACAACAGTCTAGCAAAATAGGCAGGCAAAGGACTTTCATGTGTGATTTCCTGCTGTCTGAGCGGTGAGGAGCAGAGCTGCTGTCATTGCCCTCATACCTTCTTAGTGATGATTACCCTACATTAACTATTGTTTTTGAGCAATAGCCTTACAGGATGTTAATTTGCTGATAGGCTGTAATTCCTGTTCCAGGTGCTGAGAAGAAAGCCTGCAGTGTTTCAGAGACAGAACACCACATCTCTGCAGGATTAGTTCTCTGTGGCTAACCTTTCTGCAGCATGTCTAATATAATTCAGTCTTAGCAAAAAGGGATGAACAACATCTGTTCAGGAAATAGTGTTGTGGTTCAGTAACTCAGAATTTCAGATGTGGCACAGCTTAGGCAGTGTTTTGAAAAGTGAGAGGGACATTTGATATGGTTATTTGTGCATTTCCAGGGCATGTTTCCTGCTACAGTCACCGTCACTACAAAGTAAAACTGTAAAATAATTTTGAGTGAACTCATGCCTTTGAAAACCATAGAATAGTAGCAGTACTGATCTACAGGGGCAGTGCACTAATAATATGCAGATATAATTACTGAGTTACCGGAAGGTGTTCTGTTTATCTTACTTTTGCAAATTGCCTTTAACTTTCCATTTGTTACACTGAATCACCTTAGAAAAGATATTCTATATAAATATACTGTGCAAGTGGTCTTTAATCCAAGAATAAACATTTATTGAAGCCTCAAGATATAACATAAATGGAGCCAAACAGGTTACCTGGTTTTGCATGTAAAAGTACTATGCTATGGATTAAAATTTAGGTGGTGATACCACTGCTGAACTGACTTGGTTTCATGGTCAGCAATAGTATAGAATTTTCTCATAGTTAGTTATATCTCAGTGTTTCAAGGCAAGTAAACAAGTGTTCTTAACTTGTCATTTTAAGTCTGCAGCAAGATTTTCCAAGCTGTTATGCTACCTCTCTCTCAATACTGAATCTTTAATGAGAGCACAGGCACCGCTGCCTGGGATCAGCAGGTTCCTGTATTCTACTGCTTAGCGAAATTTGGCTGAACATCCATTGCAGCCTCTAAAGACTGCTGTTAAAAGCCACTGTGTATAGTCAATTATCAATCCCTCTTCTCTTTTTGATTACTAAAACTTGTGAACAACCCACATTCATTCTGTGCACTACCTACATCTCTCAAACCTTTTTTTGGACGTTAAAGTGCTTATTAAATTTACTTTCAGAGGGTTATCTAACCTAAAAAAAGGACAGTAAGTCTAGAAAACACTGAGAGAATGATTGAGTGAATTGTGGTTTGCAGTGATCAGTGTTCAACTGAGAAAGGTCTGTGATATATTCTCTTTTCACATATATTCTGTCACTGCTTGCTTTTCATTTGTGTATTCAGGTCATCCGAGATTTTTCAATCAACTGTATGCTGGAATAGATTATTACTCATTAGTGGCTCGTTTCATTACAGAAGCGCTGAACCCGAGTGTGTAAGTATAGTTCTTTGTCCTCTTGGTGATGAATTGGCAGGCATGCTTTTTGAAATAACAGCTTTCCCTCTCCCTCCCTCCCCCCTGCCCCGTTTCCCTCCTCCTCTTTCCCCCATTTCTGATTTCTGTTTTCAGTATTATAATGGAGGTAAGAATTGTGCAGGAATGTGGGAGAGAAAACAGTCTGGATTGGATGAATAGCTCACGAGGTTGGCTAATCTGATGAGGCCTTATTTTTCTAGTTTGTAAAGTGGGGTTTAAGAGATGAGATCTTTGTTTTTCAATGCTTTTAAACCTAGACTTTCATCTTACTTGGTGCATAAAAATGAATTAATAAGACTTCCCAAGTTGTTCTTTTCCTTTGAAGCATTCTGCACAGTTGAATGCAAGTGGTTACCTGCCTACTGCTACTTGCAAATGTAAAGCCTAAACAAAAAGTAATTGTTGCTTTGCAGTAGATCATTATAGCTGAAATCTAAGCATGTGACCTACGTTAAAAGAAAATCCTGATGTATTACTTGGAGAGCTGAAGTGTCAATGTGATGCTGTCAGGAACTAAGCAATTGCTCTACAGGGTCAGAGCCACAGTGTTTTTAGTTTAGAGTTCTACTGCTGATGGTGGTCAGCTTCTGATAGATATAAGAAAGGTGCAAGAAACCTTAATCTAGTTTTACCAGTATTCTGTGGCATGAGTTATGTAGTCTTAATATGAATCATGATGTCTCTTTTTTTTTTTTTTTTTTTCATTCAGATACACATATGAAGTATCCCCTGTGTTTCTGTTAGTGGAAGAAGCAGTCATCAAGAAAATGATTGAGTTCATAGGCTGGGAAGAAGGTGATGGTATATTTAATCCAGGTAGGAATAGTTCAGATTTCAAGCTGAGTCATTATAAACCAGCTAATACCAGTAATTCCATGAACGTTGAATTTGCATAGAATATTTGAAAATGCATGTAAAAATCTAGTGATGTACACGTACAGCTATGTAATTCAGGCTTATTTTACATGTTTCTAGTAACAATTACATGAACCTGATCAGTGAATGAATGAAAACGGTTCTACATTAAATATAATTATGTGGAAATTGTAAATGATGCCCTTCCTGACCTTATTAACAACAATACCAGCCTCATCGGACTGAGTTTTATTGGTTGAGAGAGAGGGAGATGATTGACGTGCCAGACACCAACAAGTGGTGCCTGAGCGCACTGGTCTGTGTATCCTGCCTATCAACTGTGGGCACCAGCGTTTATTGTAGTGGGAGTGTCATGAGCTTAACTCCACTGAGTTTTGATGGTTTTATTAAATGTTACGATAAGGCCAACCAAATATTCCTTAAGTTTCTTGATAAGCCACAATTTTCAAATGCCCTCTAAAGCAGCATTCCAGCCCACTGTATTGAAATAATGAAGCATGATGATATTATTCCACAGATTATTTGGGTAAGAAATTATTAGGCTCAATAGGAAGCTTTTATATCTAATTTAGGGGTGAGAAGAGAAGTAAGTAAATGAATTTAACCTGCCCAAAAGCAAAACAAGGTCAGTAATTCTAGCTTACATGTGAGTAGTAGAAAAATAAACTAAAAACCCCTTCATATTTAAGTAATGATTCCCCCCCCAACCCCCCGTCAGATTTGATGTGTATTTTCCATAGAATCCTTGCTTTTGTGGCAGAATTGCATAACTAAAACATACTGTGACAGTGTCAAAAGATAAATGAGTCACACTTTTTGGTGCTAGTTTTATGTAAAGGTTTTTCTTATTGTTTTGAGTTTGTTCTTTAAAGAGAATAAAACCTTTCCAGATCTTACCTTGCAGATCTTCCAGTTGCCACTCTCTGTGGGTTTTTTACTAATAGCCTTTCCCATCATAATACTGTGAAGCCTGGTTGCCCAAGGGCTCTCCTAGGCTCTGTATGGTGCAGCCACAGCTGACTTGGTATGGGCAGCTGAGCTGGCATGGCTTCAGTGTAAATGGGAAGCAACTGTTGCAGGCTATTCTCTGTCAGGGAGGATTATTTGGGCACAGTTATTATTCTTCAGGAAATATCCCCAAATAACATTCAAACATGCTGTGTTTTCAAATATGCTGCAGAGCCCAAAGTTCATTTTATATCTGTAGGGTTTTGGGGGAAAATTAAGCTGTGATGGATGCATCTATAGGCTAACAGTATGCGCAGTATGGTTGATTTCTTTTTTTTCCCCTAACAGGGGAAACATAGGACTGTGGCTAATATGATGTTTGTGTGCCTCTTTCTGCAGGTGGCTCTGTTTCTAATATGTATGCTATGAACTTAGCAAGATACAAGTTTTGTCCTGAGATAAAGGAAAAAGGGCTTTCAGGTTTGCCAAGACTAGTCCTGTTCACTTCGGAAGAGGTAAAAACAAAACAGAAAAAAGCTTTCTAAACTTTTTTCCTCAAATGGCTGCAAAATTGGTATAATTTGTGTATCTGATGGGGCACTGGTACAATAAATACACTGATGCCAGGTAGGACAGAGCCTTGGGTGACAAGTTCTAGTGTGAGGCATCCCTGCCCATGGCAGGGGGTTGGGATTAGGTGAAAGGTCCTTTCCAACCCAAACCATTCTGTGATTCTGTGCCACATGCATGTGGAATATTGGAGCTAAGTGGAGAAGTCTGATGGTAGATTTATATCCCTGCAGAAGCTTCCTTGCTTTCCCAAAACAAACACAAGTGTTCCTGCTCTTGGAAATTGCCGATAAAAGAATTGGTTGTAGGTGGGGTAAACTTGAAGCAGAATGCTTGTGGTGTGATGTGGAGGAATGCAGCATTTGAGTTCTTAAAGCATCAAGTCTAGGAAGAATGATAGGTAGGTTCTGGATGTCAAATGGTTTTTTTATTTGCACTAACTTGAGCACATGTGGACCTGTGAGATGGCTTTCTGTGGTGCCCTGTGACTGAATACAGATTGGTTGCGATACAGAGCCAAATCCACCATAAAGCATTTCAGAAAAAAATGCTGGAGACAGTTCTTTAAATAATTAAAATTATATGGCTAGTTTAAAGCTTTTGAATAATATCTGCCCAGACTGCCTGTGGGAAATTGAGTCGTATTCATACTTGTATTAAGAAGCTAATTTTTGAGGCTTTTTTCCTCACTTGTCCCTCCAATTTTAAGAGTTTATAATTTGATTAGTACAGTGGTTATTCATTCCGACTCCACTATATAAAGGTCCCAGTGGAAGTGAGAACCTTGTTGTACTAGGAAGTATGTAGTTACTAGAATAATTTTAGCTGTTAAGTTTATGTTCTGAACAGTTTGCAGTGTAAATAGACAAGAGGCTTATTTTGAAGAGGCCTGAGGGATGGATGCATTGCATAAGTTGTCCAAGACAGCGCATATATTTTGGAACTGAATCCAAATGTCCTACATAAAAGGATTTTTTTTTTTTCCAGGCAAAATATGTTTAAGTTTATTTCTTTCTGAAAAGTGTGTTTATGAATTTATATGCCAGTTCATACTAATCCATCACATTAGATCTTAAAAATAGCTATGGAGGAAAAAATGAGGTTGAAAGATGTTCTGTTAATGCTTTTGAAGTGAAGTATGTAGAATTTTTACCATGAAATAACGTTGCAAGTTTTAACTAAAATGTATACTTTCATAAAACAAACAAGCATTTAATTTCATGACAAAAGAAATTTTATTTGACCCTCAGTAAATTTATTTCGATTTACTGGTCCTTGCTTCACCAGAAAGACCAAAACCACAAAACATAGAACTGATCAGGAAAAATAAACTGGTAAATTAGTTGTAAGGCAATGCTTTTTGTCTCTAATACTTTGTTAGATTCACAAAACTATGTACATGATAATTACTTGCTGTAAACCTGCCACTTCAGTGGTTAGAACTGTGGCTGTTGTCTAGGATCTCCAGTGTTTATTCATGGTTATTAGGAGATGTGCATATTCGTATCTACTTATTTTAGATCCCCCTGTACTCATTTCAAGTTATGTTACCTTTTGGAAGTTTGTTTAGTTCAGATATGTCATATTGAGAATATATGTAATGAACAGCCCATGCTGAAGATAAGTACACAAGTGCTTGTGTCACACAGTCTTATTTTTTTTATTTGTTTCTATTTTGAGCCTTTATTTAGCATTTTGTACCCTTTTTTTTTAATATATATATAAATATTGAAGAGGTACTTGGAGAAGGAAATGATTTTTAAAAAATGACCCCATAGAAATTAACATGTGTTAACTTCTTTGACTGTTAGCATCTTGTTAACATCTTCGACCTGAATCAGGCAAACAGTGTTGGCATGGGGAAACCATCAGGCTATAACAAACTGAGAGTATTGATAAGGACTGAAAACACATGGCTGCACCAGACACTTGTGTCATTTTACAGCTTGGCTTCAACGCTGTTCAAATGAAACGATTTTTGCCTTGAGTTGCCAAGTCCCAAAGTTTCAGTCTGGCACTTGGCAGACTGAAAGAGTTGCCTTGCTGTAGAGCAGGGGGATGCACGGACTTGTCAGTCCGTTAATTCTATGTGATCTACACTTACGTATTTTTTGTGTGTTCTAGGATAACATGTTTAATTCATGGCCCACCCAAGGTTCTTAAATGCTCCGTTTGGCCTTCAGGAATAAAAAGGCTTTCTGTTCCTGCAAGTAGGATGCTTAGCTGCTTAAAATATGTTGATACACAGTGAACCATTGCTTAAGCTACTACTCTGTAGTTCTCTTGCTGGACCATTACAGAATGACTCCTCTTGAGACACTAGCAGTAGTAAAGAAATCGTTATATCCCACTTTCTTGGGGCATGATTTGCATCTTTGTAGGAGCTGAATACAGTGGTAGTTACAGATGTCACCCCACTATTTATCACATTTTGCTATTTGAGTCCCATCTGAACTTTACTCTGACCTTAGAATCTATTGCATTGATCTGAAGGGTAGAAACCTGCTAAATTTGAGGTAGCTGAGGGTAGAAGAGGGGTAGGTAAACAGTTGAAATGTGCATGCTGATATGAGAAGTTTTTTAGATGCAATGAAACTAAATTCCTCCCCAGTGCAACTTGATCATGAAAGTAATAAAGTGAGAGAACACAACATTAACTCACCATGTTGTCCCCTGTTGAAATTACAACAGGCAAAAATGAGTAATATAACAGTCTCATAATAATGTAATTGCTTTATGCAATCATGTTTCTAGGAAACTTTTCAAAATCAAGAAAATACAAATTCATCTTCTGTTTTAATGAGCACAGGAGGAAAGTACCTTATCTTTGCAAACTTTATTAGGAAGTGAAAGCTATGTCTAGCTATAGTTAAAACAGTGCAGCAGCACATCTTAAATGAACTGTTCCAATTTGATCTTGTGCTCAAAGGCACTAATTTCTTACTACAAATTTAATAATGTGTCCAAACAAACAAAACTGAAAAAGACATGGCAAGATTAATGTGAACTCAGAGGGTTTAAAATAATTATTTAAAATTACATTTATAATCTAGATATAAAATAACTTTTACCTGGATACTTCTTTCCTTTCTGGAAAGAGAACTATGAACAAGTGAATTAGTTGACACTGTGACTGGAGGTGCTAAATGTTCTCTGGTATATTTTTTCTTAAAATGATGCATGTAGTTTAGCGTAATGGCTTCTGGTAATGATAGGGGGAAAAAACATTCTTGTATGTTTTCCGTCAATATAACTAGAAGACTACTTTTTCATCAAAGAAAGCATATTTCAAGTCTATGCAGTAGTATAAGTCTTGTCCTTTTTCTGTCTTACTGAAGACCTGATAAAATTTTCCAAGAGGAGCAGAAGTATTTGTGGAGGCAAGAAATAATGTATCTTGCAGCCTGTTTTGTTTTGGTATTACCTTTGTTTTTCTCTTTGCCTCTGCTTTTTGGTATAATCTCTCAGGTGCTCAAGCCTCTTTATCTATATCCTAGTCTCTCATACAGTTTTTTATACTCATTACTAGTATACTGAATTTGCAGGTCTACTGCTTTCTCAGTTTGGAGCAATCTCATTATCCTGGTGATTCATAACTTTCACTCGAACCTAATGGATGGAAATCAGTGATGGAGGCAACTTGTATTTCAAGTGATTCAGTAATCAGTTGAAAATGTCTCTGAAATTCTACTGAAAAACACACAGCCACTCTACAATCATTATTACCTTTATTGATGTAATTTAATGCAATGTAAGACTAATTATCCACCTATGTATGTTATTATCTTTGTAACAGTCTGAATGAATGATCTCTAAAGACTTTGTAGATGTGTCATATTACAAAATTAAGCTTTCTTAAAACTACCTGATAGTATCAGGTAATGTCTTTGTATGACTGTAAAAAGTGGGCGATGGTAGAGGAAATCTTTTTGTCAAAAAGAGAAAGAGCCCTTTGAGATGATCCATCTCATCAAAATAAGCATGACAGCCTTTAATACCCTTAATATATTCATGCCCACACATTAAAATGTTGTACATTTTTCATAATTATGTTCGGCAGTAACTGCATTTGTGTGAACTCTCTGTAAGAAAATGGAATTAATTAACCACCTGGCTTCACCTCCTGTATGAAAAGTAGCATTCCTAGACATTTTTGTGGTTGCTGGAGCATGCGTTATTTTAACTCTTCAGTAATATGAAAAAGAATCAGTTTCTTTTTTGAGAAGAGCAGTACTAATCCAAAGGTTGGATGATCTTGATTCTAAGAACTGTATAGTCTGCTCATGTTGCATACTCTCAAAACTGACTCCATTGTTATGATTGGGTAGGCACTTGGCATGCTGCAGGTTACTCAGAATGGTTCTGACATCAAAAAAAAATCTTCAGATTAAGAAAGTTACTGTATCTTGAGTTCCCAGGCTAATCTTGAAGATGGATTAGGATGAGGTCAACATACTCTTATTCTGGAATGAGACAAAATGTTCTTATGATGGAGTAACAGTATCCACAGTAAAGCAGGTCCTTTTAGGGGTAATGTTGGAAATATGGTAAGATATACCATGAATACTTTTTTGATAGAAAAAAAAAAAGCCTGTAAAAAGTAGAATGGACTGTGGGAACTTGAGTATGCCCCCCATGGGAGCCATGTTACTACTTTCTGATTGAATAAACACCCATTTCTAACATCCTTTGAGCCAGTGAAGGGGTCTCAACTTTTACACTCACTTCACAGGCTTCATATGCTAATGCCTTTTGTTCAGTGCAAAGTGAGAAGTGGGCTGCATGTATAGGTCTTCATTCAAAAACATCTCTGATGAAACCTAGCTAAAATTCTTGCTGAAACAGTAGCTTCGTTTTCTGAAAAATGCAGACTGGAACCTTATGCAAAATCCGTATTAACTTTTGAAGATGCACTGTCTTGTCTAAAGTCTGTTTACTTTCATAATGGTTTCTAAGGTTTCACATTCATGTGAACAATCTTCACAGCACCATGATTTTCAGATCCTTTTGTAGAGGTAGGGCTTTGAAAACCTTGGAAGTACCGATTGTACCACATTTAAAAGCTTTGGTAAGTCTTGGACTTCTGTCTTTGAAGTCAAGGACTTCAGCTCCTTGACCCTATGAACAGAGTTTCTAGATCAGGCCAACAGTCAGTTTAGCATAGTATCCTGTCTCTGGCTGTGGCCAACAGCTGATGTTTAGAGAAAGCGTACTGAAAAATTACAAGGATAAAGTGGTAGAGGCTTTAGATGTATCCTAAGATACATCCTAACTAAGGGTCCAGTTTCCAAGAGCGATGCTTTTGGATTCTCAGACCTCACAGTTACTTCTAGACTGTTGAGTTCAAATAGACCGTTCTTATGCATTTCCTAACTCTTACATTTGATACTTTTGATTCAGCTCTGTGAAAACATTTTGAAACAATAATTCTTCCCTGGTGACACTTCAGATTTTCTATTTCTCATTCTAATGCAGAATTAAAATAAAAAAGTATGAAATAAAAATTTTTTTTTTTTAAGCCCACAATTTAAACATGGTGCACATATTTTTTTTTTTTTTTTTTTTTTGGTCTTATTCTCTCCAGTGTGTGTCATTGTCAAATACAAGATGGTCTTGGTGCTGTAGCTTTGTCAGTTTGCTTTTTGTGTTAGGATGTGCTGTTGTCATGACTGTTAGCTGCTGTTAGATTAATTTCAGTGACACTGTTCTCTATGCTAAGGAATTCTTTTCATTTTAATTGCATGCTTACTCCTTTCTTGTCATGTCTCTTTCATTTACAGTGTCATTACTCCATGAAAAAGGCAGCCTCCTTCCTGGGTGTTGGTACAGAGAATGTTTACTTCATCAAAACAGATGAAAGGTAAGCAAGCAAAAGCCATAGCTGTGGTCTCTGAGCCTTATAAAAAATGTAGTAGTGCTGTACGTAATCAACCTATTTGAATGTAACTGAAAAAGTTTTAAATCTGTGTCCCTTAGAGGTAAGATGATACCTGAGGAACTGGAGAAACAAGTCCAGCGGGCCAGGAAAGAGGTGAGAGGGGGAGAGAAAGCATGAAGGAGAGAGGAGGAGTGTATGCAGACTGTGTGCTTGTGTCTGAGCGAAAGGAAGGGAAACAGAGAATGAATGAAGCCTTAAAAATAGGGTAGTTAATGTAACAGTGTGTTCCTTGCAGGTGCAATCTGTTTACCACAAAATTCTAGGTGCTACACTCTTATGAGGGAGAAAAATTCCATGGGGTGTTCAGTACTAATGAAAGTCCAGAGTACAATGCTGCTCTGAAGTATTTAGCACATTTCTTCTAGGATTTATTTTGCCCTTGATCCTTTTTTACGTGGATGCATTATTTGCTTTCTGTAAGCAGTAAATGAAAACTGTAGGCTTTTCAGTTAATTACAGCAGCTATTTCTCTATCCTCTGCAGTAACCAAAAGCAGTAACATATGGCTTAGTCTCTAAAACTATCGTAAAAGCTACAAATGCTAAATTTGGTCCTTTCTAGTATTGTAGCAAAAGCGTAGAGATTCTGTCCCATGTCTCTTTTCCCTCAGGGGCTTTGTCAAGTCGAAAGTCAAAGGCCAGCATTTGGAAATATACTGATGTGTGTACTTGGACATTATAACATACATTCCCACGATCTATAAGATAGCACTTACTATAGTCAACATAATTTATTTTAGAGAGCTTGGAAGACTGAATGTGCATTCCAGGGTATAGAACATCTTCTTCTGGCTTGGTTAGGCTAACCTTACTTCCAGTTAGGCTTTCTTACTTCCAGTTTGTGTATCAGAGTAGTAGGATTCAGAGCTCAGCCCTCAGTCTACGGTCTGTGAACACCAAGCAACTAGTGCACTGTCTGTGGTGTGGTTGATACCTTCCTTGGGAAACCTACTTTGTGGCTGATAGCAAGGGCAAGGCAGTCCTGTCATGCACTAGCATGGGCACAGCAGCTTTCAGTAAGATCTGATTTAGATCCATTTTCTGCCAAACAACCATGTCTTCTTTGAGTTTCTTGCTAGATAGCATAATTGTTGATATATGGTGGCCCTAGTGACCTATCAAACTCTCTTGCTTGCCTCTTTTTGTACTTTCTGTTATCTGTGGAAGACAACCTGTACTTTACTCACCTGAGCAAGCAGGGGGGAAAAAAACAGAAGACTGAAATAAATTGGAGCAAGAGGAAGCAGGCTGACAGGAGAATGAGCTCTTTGCTTTTGCAAAAACATAATTCTTGTTTATGAATAAAATAATTCTAATGGTTGTTTGCAAGAAATCTTCTGGCATTTCTGGTTTAAAAAAGGTCAATCTCAGTATGGTGCTCTGCAATTTAAAAACAAATGTTCTATATTAAAATGCTCTGCTTACAGGAAAACACTGTTTCACTTGCATTTTAAGGGAAATAACGGGTATATTGGAAGGTTTTCATTTCATCAGAGCTTCAGTAAATGTGTCTGTCCTTGATAAAGTGCTACTTTACAACTTTTACAGAAAGACACTTCAGTGAATTACAGTAAATATTCTAATGACTCTAGACAACAGAGGATATATTTGCTAGTGACAGGAACACAAAATGATTCTGACTCTGAATAGCAAGAATGTTAGGTCTCTTTTTAGAGAATTTAGTCAGGAAGATTTATTTAACTATATTGTCAAGAAGAATAAAAATTTAATTCCCTTCTTTTTGGGAAAAATGTAATGGTAACAATCTTTGAAATTTATAGAGATCCTAGATTTGTCCCCATACTCAGTCATGTTACCTACTGGCTGCTGGGGGACCTTTGACTTTGATGTATTTGTGGAAGAAAATTGATAAGAACACTAACAGAAACTAGGTTCAGCACATACATCTTTGCCTCACTTGCAAGCGTTTTGTACTTGAGCTTTCGGGCTGGTTTGTAAGTTTGATTGACTTTTGTGGTAGGTTGTGCTAGGAATGAATGACCAAGATGTGAATTGTAGGCTGGTAATTCTTTGTGAATGTATGGGATTAAATGAAATCCATTCCAAGGTTATTTTTCACTGCTTTAGCAATTTGTAAAGAGATTTTAAAATACCAACAAATCATAATTATGTACCATTCTAACAGGGCTCTTTTAAAGAAATGTAAAACTGACAGAGTGTAAACGTGACTCAAGCCTGTCTGTCTTCTCTGTAGCAGATGTTTAAAAGAGGGCTCAGATTTCAGCTGAAGATACCTGAGACTTGTGTAGAGTCTGATTTTTTCAGCTGATGTCTGATTTCAGTGAAGGTACAATAAGTTACATCAGCAGAGAGACTTACATCATCTGAGATCTTTATTTCACTGCAAATGAACTCTAGGTATCCCAGATTGCACGATTTAATAACAACTTTTGTGCCTCTTCAGTAACTGCGTTGTGCTGTCGGCCAGAAGCTGAAACATGCAGGGAAGTTCCTTCACCATGCAGCTACTCGCAAGTGGGACGGCACAGTCACTGCTAGAGCTGATACCCTCAGTTTCATGGAGATGTTACAGACTCCACCAGTTCTTTCCATTATTTCATCTTCTGGTTCTAAGCAGGCACAGGCACATCTATCTGCAAGGGTACATGGCCTAGTCTGTTCCTAAGTGTAATTGCATCCCTGCTATTAGTTGAATGGGAAAGCAATGAGCAAAGCCATTGAAACCAAAATGGATGGCTTATGGTGGTTGTCTGAGACTGCAACTTGACTGTTTAACCTTAAAACTGTCTGAGATTTCTAGTGGTTTCTCTCCTAACATTCTACAGCCCTTCATGTTTTCTAGACATGGGTAGGAGCAAGAGAATAGCGATTTGCTGTAGATCAGGCAGGGGGTTCAGACAGCGTTGACTGTCCCAGTTGCAGTATGTGATAGTGCTGCTGAAGGCAAATCATGTTCCCTAACTTAAAGTTCCTCTTCACCAAGCAGAGAATAGGAGCATTGTAGAGACAACTCAGGTGAAAACCCTAGAGGGATGCGCCCTTTCCTTGCATGGGTAGCCTGCTGGCTGAACTAGTAGCTTTATTTCATTCAGCAGAATGGCAGCAAATAGGTAGTAAAATGTGGAATGAAAAGCAGCGTATAAAGAGAGATGTCAACTATCTGGTATGTTTTGGTCTTGACAAAACTAGCATCTGTCAAAACAGCTGGTGAAGTCTGCCCTGGGATGGTTTTAACTGGAAATGGAAAATGCCTTTTTTAAGAAGAGTCAGCACTTTTAAATGCGGTGCCTTCTGCTGGGAAACTAAAATTTAGACTGTTACATCTTTGCCCTACATTCCTAGACCTTTTTATACTGTAACTCCACAGGTATACTGGAGGAGATGAGCAGTGCAAATGACAATTTTTTGTATTGAATCCTATTGCAGGGGTCAGCACCATTTCTTGTCTGTGCTACAGCAGGCACAACAGTGCTGGGAGCATTTGATCCTCTGGATAAAATTGCCGATATCTGTGAAAAGTATGGCCTCTGGCTTCATGTTGACGTGAGTTTGTATACTGTGCAGTTTTGTTTAGCATTGCTTTTTTATAATTGCTAATTTCCTTTGACTGTTGATGTTTCTTTATAGAAGCAAGTTGGGTTCTAATAACCCCTCCTTCCCTTTTTTGTGCTTCGAGACCGTAACCAGAGAGTTCTGGTTTGTCTCTGTTATGTGTGCTGAAACATGGCAAATAGCTTGGTTGTGACAAGCTATTATTTTGTCATTGTTGGGTTATATTTAAAAATTACTTTAAAATCCATTTCTTTCTACCTCCTAAAAATATTTCAAGGGTGATTATATATAAATCTAACTTAAGTTTCTTTCCACATTCTGTTGGAAAATGGACGCATTATAATTGTGGTGTATGGCTCATACAGGTTAAAGTAAACATGTATTTCTGACTCAACCAATCATAAATTATTCATATTTTCATACACGTTTGAGTTTCCTGTAGATCTCTCCATGTTTTCCTACATTGTTCAGAAATTTTTCTTTTCTCATTTCTTTATAATTTTAGGTTTGGATATTAAAATCCATTCGTGAATCTTTTTGGAATAGTCATTGAGACTTTTTATTACCAGAAAGAGTCAGCTGTAAATGTATTTTTCTAAAACTAGATCTCTTCATATTTTCTAAAATTTATCACTCCAATGCCAACAATCAATAATGGCAAGATTAAAAGCTATAGAGCAGTGAGAGAATCTGGAGCAACATTAATGGAGATGTTTAGACTTCCTCTAAATTTTTGAGGAGTTTATTTAATATTGAGAATCTAAAGAAAAAGCCTGGTTTCTTGTTGAATGATTTACATGTTATGCAGTCTGAGTTATAGTAAGTGACTGCTGCTTTTTAGGCCAGCTGTAACTTTGGAGGAAAAAAAGATACAGTACAATTAAAACAAACATTAGAACCCAGGACAAGTTCTGTCTAATTCAGGGCTCTGCGTATCGTTGATGGAAATCAGGATTACCTACTGCAAATGGTCTCAAGAGCTGTTCATAACAATATCTTATATGAATGTCAGTGGTGTTGTTTCCAGATTTACACTAATGTATCTCATTTCAGAATATTTTCTGATCCCCAGAATTGATATATTTGCCTTAGGGGGACTCTTTATTAAGGACAAAATGATAAAGCTCATGATTCTTAGGAAGGGCAAAAGGTAGAATGTCAACATAAAATCACTGGGCTTCAGGAAGATAAATTTCGATAAAGTCAAGTAGTTGATAAGCTCTCACATGGAGACAAATCTGAAGAGGAAAGGGGAGTTAAGGAAAAGTTGTTTAAAGAATATAAACCCAATATAAAACCCAGTAATAAGCCCAAACTGTCTCAGCAATCAAGCCATTTAACAACGTAAGTGCAGAGACTATAACCAGGCTCCTTTTGTGCATATTACAGTATTCATACATGCATTCCAATTGCTTATTGCATTCTATCATACATCTAGGACTTGTTTTGCACCGTCAATATGCACTTAAGCTCCAACACTTAAGCATATCATGTATTGTGTTCATTTAGCTTTAAATAATATCTATGAGTATTTCTTCCCTGCTGGTCCTTACTTTGACTTCCCCCCCACATGGCTAGTCGAGTACAGAAAATTGGGTTTGACCTGTTAGCCTGTGCTTAGGTAGTTAGTTTAATCACACTGCAAACACTGTAATTCCCATTGTTCATCTGTAAGTGTGGCTTGTTGCGTATGTAACTTGCTAAGTTTTTAATACCTGCTTTATACCTACTTACCAATTACACTGCCTGGGACACAGATTATAATCTTTGTTTTGAGCTGCCCTGCATTGCTCTTAGCTAAATGTGTAGTAAACAAAATGTGTCAATCTATTTTGATCAATATACCTTCCTTCTGTAGCCTCATGGGTGGAAAAGAAGTAGTTAACTTTATCGTGTCTTTGCCATATCTCAAGAGGAAGCCAGAGAAACATGCTAAACTGCAGCTGTGGTAGTGAGTGAAAACCTGTCTGGAAAATCGTACCCAGAGAGCAATTACCAGGAGTTCACTGCTGATAGGGCAGAAATTTTGAGCGGGATTCCACAAAGGTCCATCCTAGATTAGAAGTTATTTGGTAGACTCATTAATAATAACTTGGATGAAAAAAAAAAATACACTGACTAGATTTGAAAATGACATAAAATTGCTGCAAGTGGCAGTGGGAGGACAGGATTAGAAATTAAAGAGATCTTGACAGTTTAGAGAAAAAAGTGGAAAAACTAGGTTACAATTCAATAAACAGAGCTCTAAGTTTAAGCTGTAATAATCAACTGCACAAACATAGGCTGGGGATTGCTGGCTAGACAGCAGATCTTCAGAAAAAAACATCTGGAGTTTACAGTACATCACAAATCCATGATCGTAAGCATTTTCAAATGGCGTTAAATGACTTTCAGAATTGAATAAAAAAGATAGATAAAATAATTCTTTCTTTCTGCTCGGGCCTTAGGCTGCTTTATGTAGATTGTGTCCAAATAAAAAGCTGCATTTCAAGAAGCTTAAGGATCTACAGGAGAAAGATTAGAAAACAGTAAAGCAGTGAGGATAAACAGGAACACATCTAGAAATTATGACCAATGAAGAAAGATTGAAAGCACTGATGTTATTTAAACTAGAAGAGACAATGAGACAATACATAATAGCCTACAGATGATTTCAGAGCTGCTGAAAAGAAGAAAAGGAATAATCTGTTCCCCTGACCATTGCAGGTATGACAAGAGGTAACACTGCGTAGGATTGACACTTCAAATCAATAGGATTGTTACCGTTAAATGCAAATTAAGTGGTTAATTTATGCAGCCTCTATTATTAGAGGTCTTTAAAAACAGACAGAGCCACTGATCCTAAGACTTCTTGGGTACCTTCTTATTTGTGTTTGTTTGTTTTAGTCAGCCCTGGATCTCTAAGCACTTGGTCTTTTTAACTGGGTAAAAATGTGGAAGCAGCAATTGCTGGTGTCTCTCTTCACATTTTTTTAACTTCAGTGCTTTTCACAAGCTGTGTGTTCGTTGATTAATAACCTCTAGAAAAGACAAGTGTTTGACAGAAGTGAGTATGGCTGATGGTGCCTTTGGGATTGGCACACTGTTATAACGACCACTTGAGCGCCTTTCTAGTCCTGTTTTTCAGAGCTAGTGTGAAAATGTCTATGTTATCAAATACTTTTGGATGCAAATTTTATAAAGCATTATTATATCTCAGTGGGTTTCTTATGAATTGTGAAAGTCGGGGAATAATGTAACATGGCTGTTTTGACTACTGCATCATATTATGTGGAGAGTGAAATTTGTCTATGAGGCTTCACAGCCTCTGGTGGGTGAAATCTGATCCTTGCAGAGAATTCATGGATGTGAATCACCTTCCCTGACTCTACTTGCCCAGAAATTAAACTTGTGTAATATAAAACTTGCTGCTTGAGTTCCTTCTATAGTCCATGGAAAGAGGTATCTGCAAATGGTGTCACCCAAAGACAGGTACCTAGAATAGATGAGGTGACACTCAATAAGGAGTTTCAGTGGAGAGTTCCTCACTAAAGAGGCAGCCTAAATGGGTTTTAGACCACACACTTAGTTCTTAGATGACGTCAGGGAGATGTGAGTGAATCTTACTCCATTTTAACATTAGTTGGATTGCTGGTAACAAAAATGCTGCTATTGCGTACTCACTGACTTTGCTTTTCATATCCAAACTCTGGAAAATCTGACCCTGGACTCTGCAATTGGCAGAGGTTATTGTTCTCTACTGTTTCACTTGTGAATGGCTCAGAAAGGAAACAGCTATCAGGAAGAAGGTATGCAAAATGGGCCTTTATGCTCTTATTTCTTAGGTTTAGGCTAGGGCAAAGGAAGCACCCCTGATCCAGTATCAGGAATTGGTCTGGTTAGCAAGTACATCAGTTCATGTCATTGCTTATGTGGAAGGGACAGTGCAATTTGTGGCTCCCACAGTAGCACAAACCCATCAGCTCCTCCATTTTAAGCATAGCCCCAGGTTGACATCTTTATTTCAATACATGATGCTAAAGGCAAAATGTAGCCCATTGACATGTAGTAAACTAAGTTTTAAGTGAGATAAAGCATCTTCAGAAATTACTAGTTGAAGTGTTATCAAAAGGATCTTATACAAATAATATTGTCTTGGCTCTATAAATGTTCCAACAGGCTTCTTGGGGAGGCTCGGCTTTGATATCAAGAAAGCATTGCAGACTTCTTCATGGCATCCACAGGTCAGTGGTCAGTTCAGTTCATGGACATACTTGCCAGGGACTGAGATGGAAGTTGTGTGGCCTTTTGGCATCTACAACATCTGCATTTTCCGAAACACATGTTATTATTAGTTGGAGAGATTTCAGAACCTCTGTGTGTATGTGTGTGTGTGTCTGTGTGTGTGTGAAAGGGAAATCCTGATTGGATTGTGTTTGGCCACTTTTGATTCTCTAGTACTCATTATTACAGGTGCAAGTTCCACCTCTCTTTCTCCATTTATTTATTTCACAGGGCAGATTCTGTTGCCTGGAATCCCCACAAAATGCTACTGGCAGGAATCCAGTGCTGTGCTCTTCTGGTGAAAGACAACTCTGTAAGTCCTCCTGTCCTTAAGTGCAGTAGGCTGACATTGCTGTAACATGGAAATGAAAATTATGAGAAAACAACTGCAAGTGCAAAGGCTGAATGATAGAACTTTGAATTCCACCACAAAATTAGTAAGTGATGAGTAAGAGAGCAGGGTCCAACCAATCCAAGTCACTGTACTCACCAGTGGTCAAATCTTGCAGCTGCTGCACTTGGTAGTTAACTTTTGTACACGACTTGCATTCAGGATTGAGTATTTGTCACCTGGGCTTGCAGCACTTAAGCACTGAGCTCATCAACGTCTTAGAATAGCTGTCATCCACTGGGACTGCATTAGTACTGCATCTCTGTTTAAAGTAGACAGAGGTCCTCTTTGCATCCCCTTTACATGGGTGCACTAGAGTGGGAAAGGGGAGAGAGAGAAAGAAGAGACAGATCATATGCAGGTAAAGGTGCTGAGCCTTCTTTCCTCACTCTACTAGTTCTTCCTCATTGCCAGGGTTATTGAGGCTTTCCAAAAGCCATGACTAATTAAAATGACTAGCAAGCAAACAACAGATATCTGATCTCAAGTGACACAAAAGCGAGATGAGTTTGCAATGTGGTAAAACTACCTGCTTATATCTTTGTGAAATTCTTCTATCTTAATATAGAAATCAGTAAGAGGTCAATTATTTCAAGCCCCATTTTAAACTTAGCTCTATTAAAACTTATCCTTGTTGTCTGCCATCAGGTGTGAGTTTTAGCTTACATTTAATAGGTTATGAATGACTGAACATCATAAAGATATGGAGCCCCTGAGGTTTACGTCACTATTTTGTGGCCATGGTTTGTAAATCACTTTTATAAATCTCTGTCAAAACAGCTGATAGTTTCTATTCAGCTGCTAGTAGTTAGCTATCCATGTAACTGGTTACTAACTTCTGGTAGTAAGAACTGATGAGGACCAAAGAGCATAGATGTTAACCAGTGCTCTCTTGACACTGATTACCCCAGGTCAGGGGTGAGATATGATGAGATAGCAAGATATGGGTTTGATGGCTGGACTGTTAGGTGGATAAGGAAGTAGCTGAATAGTTGCATCCAAAGCATTGCAGCCAATGGTTCACTTTTGAAGTAGAAACCAGTTATGAGTGGTGTCTCTTAAGGGTCCATAGTGGGATCAATACTATTTAGTATCTTTACCAATGACATGGACAGTGGGATTGAGTGCACCCTTAGCAAGCTTCCAGTGGCACCAAGCTGAGTGGTGCAGTTAATAACTTGAGGGAAGGGATGCCATCCAGAGGGACCTGGACAGGCTGGAGGAATTAGACTCCAGGACTACCTGTCCATTCCTTTATCATTATTCCAGGATGACAAACAAGCAGAATGAAGTTATTGACTAAGATTAGTGTTGTGTCTTAATTGCAGGCTTGGGAAGAATTCAGTGCTATGTTTTTAACTAATGAGGCCCAATACATAGATATAGCCCCAGATAATGATTAGACTACTTCGGCTACATAGTGGAAATTTTTCAGGAAGAAAGAGGGAAGAAATGGAGAGGAATGAAATATTCTAGCTGCTCTGGAATTTAGAGCCACTTTACAAACATCGTTCCAACATCAGGGCTCTGGCAGCCTTGCTGTATTCTCCTTCCATGGAGTGTAATGTCTGGTAGAGCAATCCTATTCCACTTCTGAATCACAGCTAGGCAATGTTGTGCTGGAAGTACTTGTACAACTGAATCCTAGACTGTTGCGGGGTGAAAACACAAGTATTACTGATCATATACTCAGATCCTGTTGTACAGTGAGACACATTCTGGGAAGTACAAGAATTCTCTGTATGGGGAAGAAAAGGTGTTCTCTTTAATTCCTGGAAAATTGGCACTTAGGTGTTTTGCGTATGTGCCAGTAGTCTTTACATGCAAACAGATACACATACAAATTTGAATACTTTTGTGTCAGCTTTGTGAAAGTGTTGGAATATAAATTCTTAAGAAAAAAAATCAGATGCATATTTAAGATACTTTGGCAGAAAATCCTTGCTTCACTTTAATTATCTCCATACCAGAACAGGCAGCTGAATCCAGTTTCTTATTAAAAATGCTGTTTGCACATCAGTAAGAGAAGGAAAGAGTATGTGTATTGGTTTCTCACTTTGGAGCTTGTTCCACTGCTCTTAAATTACATTGCTGTATTACTTATTGCTGCCGATGAAGCAAGCATTTATATGTGAACATAATTCCTTCACACTGGGGTTAGGGTGCGTCAGTGGGAGCTGCAAGGGCTCGGCACATATTGCTCTGTTAGTGAATGTTCAAGGAGCCTCAGGTAGTTTCTGAAGTGGTGAATTCTGCAGGAAGTCAGAGCAGCAAAATGTTAAACATAGATGTTAAGTCCCATTTATGAATCAAGCCCTACCTCCCTTTGAAGGTCTGATGAAAGAAGTTTTGTTGGCCTGTCTTCTCATTTGAGGTCCATTTGGAACTGTGAATTACCTCAGGATTAGGGTTAGGTAATTATAAGTGGACAAACAATCCCCTTCAGTTTTTCATTCTCTTTGTTGTTTTGGTGGGGTTTTTTTTTTTGTGTGTATTCGTCTGGTGGTTTCTCTTTTTTTAGCTACATAGCATCACTAAAGCTATGTGGTTTGGTAGTGTTAACAGGCTTAAAACATTGCAGCTAGATTATTAGAATGAAACATTGTATTGAAATATTTTCCTATACAGATTAAAGAAAACAAAAAAGATAAACTGCAGTGAAATGCTGATAAAAGAGTATTTTCCAGCCTTAGTGAAACAAAATTGGAATGATTTCCAAAGAAGGTAGAGATAGAAAAGAGAAATATGTTTCACTTGATTAGAAGGGAGAAGCATTTTCACCAAAGGGAA